TAACGCCAGACATCCAGGAGAGATTTGTAAAGAGTCACCTTTCCTACTAGAAACTTGCTCCTTTGTCATTAAAGGTGTACACAGGTCCTCTGTGCAACTTTGCACAGGGCGGGGAATCTTGACCGACTGCACTTCACGTTGGGAATAGGCGGATTTCACAGTCATGGGGTGCTCAGTGCTTGCACCGGGCAGCCAGACACAGTGTGTTGGGAATTGCTCTGCTTGTGGTCTGGGAGGGTGAGGGACAGGGAGGTCCAGAGAGAGAGGATCAGAGGAATGCCCGCAACCTCCAATACCCAGGAGTGCCCAGCCCAGGAACACCAATGCCTCCATCCTTCTCTGGGCAGCGCTGCCCAGCACGGAACCCCTCCCACAGCACTGCATCCCAGGTGCCGGGCACTCACACTGTTGCTGCCAGCCAGCCACACCGATGGCCTACTTGGCAGGGGCGGTGAGAGGTTTAAGAGCCACTGGCCTGCATTTCAGTCGCATGCTATGTACTAGCTTTCATACTCAATTTCATTAAAAGTCAATACTATACAAACAATCCCTTTTCATATTCACAGCTTGCCTAATTCAGAGAGGAAAAAAACTTTACATATCCCTTGGCCCCACCCCTGAGTCGAGACCATTCCCCATCCCTGTGAATACCCAACAGAGATAAAGACAAATGTCCACTAAGAGTACATGCACATGGCCCTAGCTGGCGGCTCAGTGGTTAGAGCATCAGCCTGTGCACTGAAGGGGCGCATGTGGGAGGCAACCAATCGATGTGTCTCTCACATCGATGTTTCTCTCTATCTCCTCCCTCTCCTTCTCTCTAGAAAACAATGGAAAAAATATCCCTGGGTGAGGATTAACAACACAAAAAGAATACATGCACATGTATTTTATTCATAATGGCTTCAACCATAAACAGCCTTCATGTCCCTTCCCAATAGAATGGGTAAAGAGATGGTGGTACACTCACGCACTGAGATACAATTCAGCAATGGGAATGTGAACAACAACTCTACGCCACCCTGTGGGTGAACTCGCACATGCGTCAGGATGAACCAGAGAAGATGGACATAAAAAAGAGTTCACGGCACATAAGGTGCAAAAGCAGGCAGAACGCCTCCACGGCATTTGAAGTCAGGATGGTGGTTACCCGTGGGCCCCAGGAGAGGCTGGTCTGTTTTCCATCTGAGGACAGGCTGCCGAGCAGGTTCGCCTGGGGGGCTCAGCTAGCTGTACACTCGTGGTATTAATATTTCAAGGAAAGGTTTTCTGGAAAACACCAAGTTCACTCTGGATTTAGTGCCATTTCAACCAGACCCGTCATCTAGATGCCTTTTCCTTCAACTGTCCCCAAGGACTCTTCTCCGACAGTGCACAACTGCTGATGGCTTCCATCCATGTCATCATTTCAAATAGCTTTTGCCATCTGACTCTGCTCCAAAGCACTTTGCAGCAACATTGGTATCCTTAACAGGGAAGGCATCACCTTTCTCTTCTTCCTTTATTGTTTGGAGCCAAGGGGCAGGCAGCAGACAAGAGGCTCCCCCTGACGGGGCCAGGAGTGCAGGCCAGCCCGCAGCCTGACTGTTGCTCTGAGGTGAGTGAGCTGTGGCCTGAGAGGTCAAGGCCTTGCCCAAGACACTCCGAAAGGCTCTCGGTGACCCCACGTCACTGCCTGTCACACCACATTTGTAAAGTGGGGCTTGTCCAGGGAGACAGGAGTTTTTCAAGATCTTATGACTGACCCCTTGGTTTTCAGGGGTCGGGCTTTGACAGCACAACCTCAAAGGAAGACCAGAGATAAAGGAACGAGAAAAAGGACGAAAGAGATGGGGAAAGTGGGCATCAATAGGAGGAAGTCCATGAAGAAAGGGCAGACAGGTGCCAT